TCCACAGCAGTAAATTCTTGTCAGCTGAGAAGTCGTAACATGTATATGTAACTTTCTTTCTCATGATTGGCATAGGAAGTTGGATAGTTGGCAGAAATGAATGATGACTGACAATTTCTTCACAGCATCTTGTCTACCATGGTGTGTGAAATCGTTCAGTGTGATGGACTCCACACATGTTTTAGGCTCAGTGTATACAAAGTGGCCTTGCATATTGATGATCCCAAAGGTTAACCCTACTCTGTTGCTTTTCCGAGCAATGCATGGTGTCAGTCATGTGCACCCTGACCGACATATCCCAAGTTTACATCATTTGCTTTAGTGAGGCTATTGTAGGCTAGGAGAAGCAGCTAATACTTTTTAGTGACATGTTAACACAGAATGGAGATATGTCGTTGTAGTAGACTGAATTGTTACTGTAAATTTTTTACATCATGGTTTTGACTTTGAGAGAAAAAAAAAGCAATTTTGATTTTGTTAATAAATGAGACATGAAACCAAATATAACTGTCAACAGTATGGAATGCCATAAAACAGAGCTTAATAAACCGTTTGTGCTATGTTCAGGTAGCTCAAGTTTTTGTGTTCCACTCAAGTTCTTCCCAAAGATCCTACCTCAATACAAACTGTGTGTTAAGTTTTCAACAGTGAGATTATAAGGAAAATATTACCAAAAGAGAAATATTTACATTAAAGGAAAATATAAATACAAGGTCTTCTTGTTAATAATTTTAACTAATTTTCAATTTTAGAGTAATTTTCCCAGACTGCCTAATATTTAATGTTTTCAGCAAACATTTTCTTCTTCAACTACATAAATTAACATGCTACACTGATTAGGGAAGACTGGTTAAAGTACTGAAAAGGTTAACCAACTCTTCTCAGCAACATTGTTTTATTTTAATTAAAAGAAAATTAATAGGTCCAGTTAGGTTATTTACCTCTAAGAGAATAATGATAGTTTAGACCATGCAGGAACTTAGATTTGCAAATCTTGGATCAAGTCTTATCTTTGCATTGAAAACAATGGCAAAGGCCTGGCCAGTGTGGCTTAGTGGATTGAGCATCGTCCCATGGACTGAGAGGTCCCAGTTCAATTCCCAGTTAGGGCACATGCCTGGGTTTCAGGCTCGGTCCCAGGTGAAGGGTGTGCAAGAGACAGTTGGTTAATGTTTCTCTCTCACATCGGTGTCTCTCTCTCTCTCTCTCTCTCTCTCTCTTGCCCTCTCTCACTCTGTCTGAAGACAAGTGGAAATGTATGTCCTCGGGTGAGGATTAAAGAAAAAAAACAGCAAAGGATTTTTACTAGGCAACAATGTTAGTGATTAAATCAACTTCGTACCTACCAAGTGTGTTGTTAAAATATTTGAAATTAATAAAATTACTTTTTAAAAATAAAATCACAATTAGTACTTTAATAATTAATATTTTTTTGTCTCAACTAGTTTAATGTCATGAGGTTCATGGCAGTTTCTCCTCAGTTTTTGTGTGAAGTAAACCAAGATCACTCAGGTCTTCCTGCAGGTAGCACCAAAGGAGAAGAAGGATCCTCTGAGCCTGTTCTGCATAAAACAGTAAATTCTGGCCTTACACAGACATCCTAGACTTCAGATAATCTCTGACGGGCAATTTTCAATGGATTGTACAGAGTCGTAATTATGATGAGTGGATTTGACTTTTAAAATATAAAATAGAAAGCCAAGACATTGATAAATAAATATCTGTGTCATATGTGGTCATATTTATGGTGAAACTTTGTCAATTGAAGCCACTAGATAAAACAAAATGTCATTCTATCACTTTTCAAATGATTTTCTATATCAGATAGCTGGAACCATACATACAATCCTACTCTATAGAGGTCAATTATTTAACGATTTAGAATCACTGTTTTTCTTCATTATCCCTATGACAATTCTTCTCCCTTTTGACCTTTTCATTTCTAAAGAAGTGTCCTCTAACGGTGATCAATGGAAAGAGGTGAAATTCAAATGAACACTTGTACCCATGGCAATCTTGGCAAAAGTGTGCATGGGGAGGGGTGTGAAGTTATTGGCCACAACTAGCACCAAGTGCATGACGCTGCACATAGTAGTCTCTCAATAACTTCTTAATTAATTAATTGGGGACTTGATCAGTTTTTGCTTTCTGGCTATTATCACATCTAATTGGGAGTTGATTGCAACCATAAAACCATCTGAAACTACCAGTGATCACAGTTACATTTAAAAAATTAATGGGAGAAGTAATGCCGACTCGAAGTGCACATGTGCTTTATTATTCCGCCTCACAAAGCATTTGCAAACCACAGCTGTTGATAATGCCTTTGATTTGCCAGATCCTGTAACAGTCCACTTACTTTGCCTTGAACATGGCATTTGTACCACATTAAGGTTTGGCAAGCTTAATCTCTGCTAACCACTGGCAAATGTGAACATGCTATAAAATATAAAAATATATCTCAGCCAAAGCCATTATCAGGTATATATTTGTTTGGATTTGACTAAGAACCTCTAATTTGTTCATGCACCCTTGGCATCTTTACATTCTGTGTGGTGACTTTGCTTGCAGTGAATATACTACATGCCTATTAGTTAACTAAAGCTGGAAGTGCGGGCAAGGAGGAAAAGAGAGAGGAAGCAAGAAGTCCTATTTTATTACTTCTGTTGGAGTAAAAATGAACCTCCGTAAACTCATGGAGGGAGCTCGTCCAATGTCTGCTGCTCCCCATTCTCCCACCCAACATGCTGCACGCTAAAAATATTTTTTGGTACTTTGTGTATTCTCTTTCATATTATCACCTAAGAGAATCTGCCCTTGAATTTATCTGGCTACAAGCCTCATAATGGAACAAACCTATGTTATCTGGCTATTTACAAACACAAAGCTCAAGAAAATCATCATCGCTAATATTCCAACACACTGGAGTTCTTCGGTCTGGAAATCCCCCCCCCCCCATGGAGGCAGAACAGGTGTAGGTAGTAGATGATATTGGAGATTGCTGTTCGGTTTTGCTCTTCCACTCGTTTAGACAAAGACAGCCAGAGCGACATGGGTAACAGGATGGAGTCTGTGACTTCAGTCACACTCCCTCCCCAAGGGCATCATAGAAAAAATATTATTAACTCCCCAATTATTCCCTGACTTTCCAATTTAGTCACTTCAAAACTTTTCAGATTTGGCATCCCATGTTTATCTCATGACATGTTGTAAAGTAGAATAGGTAATAATTATGTAATTATTTTTTTCATTGTACAGAATCTGAAGGAAAGGTCCATTTCTTAGCAGGACCAGAATAACATCCACTCAGCTTTCTATCCATGCCTACTTTCCAGTATCTGGTGACTGGTGCCATACTCTACGTATACATTTCAGTGCCCAGTAAATAGACACATGAAATAAATATATGTAAATAACATTGAACATCTATGTACCCACATTTCAGGTTTACATTGAATTTAGTTCTATCAAGGAAATAAAATCAACCCCCTCCAACAAAACAAAGAAACAAATCCTTTTCCTAATAGTTACTCACTCACTCACTCATTTATTCAGTGATTACTGACCTTCTACTAAGTTCTAGGTATTATCTTTGATATTGTTCACTTCAGGGAGTGAGCCAGATAACATGTAAAACTACTTATCACAATGCCTGATGTGTGGGAGGAAATCAATAAAATTAAATTTCTTTTCTTCTCAAATTTTTATGCTTGAACTAATCAATGAATCAAAATGAATATTCAATTTAAAGAAAATCATTTGCTTTCAATCCAGTGTCAGCATTCCTTTATACCTTCCCTCAGAGTAGTTATATATTATAACACTTAGGTATGAGCTACTGAGCCAGGGTGAATAAACCACACGCAGCTTGTGATTCTTGGCTTGCCACCTTTTGTTGTAAAGGAGGCAAGGAAAAGATCAGTCAAGAGTCCTAATAGTAATAGACTGTATCTGTAAACACACACATAAACACACTTTTGGAAGGTTGTGTTGTTAATCCAGGCAAATAGCTTTGCAATAAAAAATAAGCATTTACTATCTTTTCTGATTGATTGAATTCAACTGTTATTTATAAGCAATTCATGAATTTATAGAAGTAGATGCAACATTAAAGCCAATAATGTCTGCCCCATCTGTTTCTATGTGACTTGTTTTTTCTTTTCTTTTTCTTTTCGTTTTTGGCTTAGCTCCCATGACTAGGTCACATATGGAGGAAAAAACAATCTGAGCCATCATCAGTTTTTACCTTTCCGCAGTTCTTATGATCTTTGCCAACTACCACCACCAAATTGATCATGTGGCCATCCACACTAATCCCTGAGACATCCAGAGTGAACAGATCCATGTATAAACAGACACAAAAGTAGTTGCAGGTCCAAGATATTTAAAGAACTCATCCATGACCTCTACTGGTCATGTTATTAAAATACAACAGCTTCCATTCTTTCAGCAGTGTTTCTGTGTTTTCATTCATTCATTCAACAGAAACGTTTTAGCACCTAGTATGTGCAGGCACTGTTTAAGGAACAACAGTAAACAAAATGGACAAAAACACCTTCCATCTTAAAATTCAGCTGGGGAGACATTAAACTATATGCATTATAAATACATTAATTGTAGAGTATATTGGGAGGTAATAATTGCCTTTAGAAAGAGAAAAAAAGTAAATTAAGGTATAAGAAATCAAGAGTATGGAGCATGGAGCAGGCAGAGCCAGAGAAGCAGGCTGTGTAGTTAAAACGGATGCTCAAGGCAAGTGTCAGTGAAAGAGTGGAATCAAGCAAAGAGTAGAAGGAGGTGAGAACGTCAGCAACTTAAGACCTAACACGTAGGTTCTCAAATTAGTTAAAGTAGACATCATCCTGGGAGCAAGGTTCTTTTTCACAGTGAGGTCTCAGGGAGATTTTGGAGTCAGACATTTGTTCAAATCCTGTATTGGTCAGCTTTTGCTAGAGCAACAAACAACCCCAAATTCTCAGTGGCTTAAAAAAACTACTTACTTTTTGTTACATTTCATGAGGGTTGCAGGTTACCTGTGGGCCAGGTGTGACTCTGATGGGCTCAGCTCAGCTGGCTTCAGCTCAGATCCCTGTATCATCTCATTCCAGGAGCCAGGGTTGAAAGGACAACGCCTCTCTAAGGCATGTTGTTCTCGCAGGGGAGGTTAGGAAGACGTGTGCCTAATCAAACCATGGAATTTAATTTTTTTTTTTTTATCCTCACCCAAGGACATTTTTGCATTTATCTTCAGATAGAACAGAAGGGAGAGAGGGAGGGAGAGAGAGAGAAACATCAATGTGAGAGAGACACATTGAGTGGTCACCACCCACACAACCCCAACTGGGGCCGGGGACAAACTGCAACCAAGGTACGTCCCCTTAGCGGGAACCAAACCCGGGACTCTCTGGTCAATGGGTCCGACGTTCTAACCACGGAGCCAAACCAGCCAGGGCCAAACCACGAAATTTAAAGCTTTGCTCACATGTGGCACCTATCAGGCCCATCACATTTCATTGACCACAGATAGTCGATTTGGCCAAGCCCAAAGTCACTGTGAGCAGGCAGTATATATCTGGTGCATATACAAAAGTAAGATAAAGGCAAGGAGGGAATGAATAATCATGAACAGATAATACACTATCACTGTAATGAGTTACCTAACCTGTCTGAATCTTGCTTGTCAATTTGTGAAATAGAAATAAGAACGACCTGTGAAGAATAAAGGAGATGTTTATAAATGTATTTAGCACAATAACTGGCTTATGATAAGAGACCAGTAAATGTTAGTATCCTGTTTTTGCCTTCTTCCACGGGTGGCATCATCACTCTGGCCCAATTCTTTTGGAGGCTTACTTAAGAGGCTACGGGGGTGTGTTGGAAAATTGAGGAGACTAGGATTCAAAAAATCTAGATTCAGTACTTACTTCCTGTGAATCCTGGATAAATTACTAATCTATACAATGAAGCAGTTGTTTATTTATTTTTTAAAATAATTTTTCTTTATTGATTTTAGAGAGAAAGGAAGAGACAGGGAGAGAGAGATAGAAACATCGATGAGAGAGAACATTGATTGGCCGCCTCCTGCATGCCTCTCACTGGGGATCGGACCCACAACCTGGGCATGACCGAGAATCAAACCGGAGACCTCTTGGTGCATGGGTCCATGCTCAACCACTGAGTCACACCAGTCAGGCAAGGCAGCTGTTTAAATGATCCCTAATGTTCCTTTCCAATGGTAAAGATCCTCAATTTGGGGCTAAAACATTTACAGTATGTTCCTCCTTTTTCTCCAGAGCCACTGTTTAGTTTTAACACCAGGTGGCGCAAGAAAACAACTTAAATGAAAAAGAAAAAGGCTTTTTTTTTTTTTTTTGGTGGTGAAAAAAGAAGAGTTCTAGACTACTACTTTCTTCTTATAGATGTTTATGAAACAGAACTCTTGCATATAATAGTTCCTCAGAAAGCACTACTCTGATGAAATGGCATCCAAAAACATAAAATAAACATTCTTGTCCTAGAACCTCATACTTTGGAAGACAACCTCAGGAACCCCAGACAATTTCTAGGGGTCGACTTTGAGTTTGGGAGCTGTCCTCTCTTTGAGCAGAAGTCTGAGATAACTGGAGCTCTGCTTTAGGACGACACATCCACTAACCATGTGATGGAAGCAAGGAGTGTCTGGCAAGGGGGAAAGTTGTTCAGGAGGCTCTTACAACATACCAGAGTCCGCATGCAAGAGCGAAATACAGTGGGAGTGAGCATAGAAGCGATAAGATGTTGCAGTGACAGAATGTCCAGAATTTGGCAACTATTTACATGAAGAGGCTTCAAGTAGGATAAGTCGTTATGAACAATGACTCCTGGATAACCAGTGACAGAAAGTGGCAAGATGACTGTGGAATGGCAGGATTGCTGCTCTTCCTGCACCTCTCGTATACTAAGAGAAGACACCATGAGTGTGCATGCCCTCTTAGGGACTTAGACCACCTCCTGATGTGCAAATGTGGGGCTAAAAGGCCAGACTTGCCTGTGCGCAGAGCATTGAAATGACCCAATGTGGCATTTGGTCTTTTCTCAAAAAATGTTTTCTTACACACAACTTTACTAGTGGTAGTGTAAAACCCCCGAGGCATTTTTCTGATGATAATGAGGGAGGCTATACATGTGTGTAGGGCAGGGGTATATGGGAAATCTTTATAATTTTCACTAGGTTTTGCTCTGAACCTAAAACTTCTCTAAGATAAAATCTATGTTTTAAAATCCTGGAGGACTCTGGGAAGATGATTGAGTAAGAAGCACTAAGAATCTGTCTCTCCTACTAGACAACAATTGCATTGGCAGAATCTGTATGATGTAATTTTGGAACCCTGGACAGTTTATTGAAAGCTTGCAACTTCCAGGGGGAGACTTTGGTCATTTTCAGCTCTCATCACAGTAGCAGCTACCCATTTCCACCTCAGTCATGGGCAGGCAGCTGTGCATGTGATCCTGGAGCAGCTTCCATATGCATACAGGAGCCAGGGTGGACAGAAAGGACCCTGTCCTCCAAGCTCAGGTACCCATTCCCCCATCAGTGCTTACTGCTTCTGATCACAGAGGTGAAGACAATGAGGCAAGCAGCCATTGCTGTTGCAACCCCTTCCATCAATGCAAGTCCTGCCCCATCTGGCTGAATGAGATACAGGAGATTTAAAGGGCCTATGACCACCTCCTGTTTTTTTATTCCCTTCATTTTCTTTCTTTCTTTCTTTGTTTCTTTCTTTCTTTCTTCCCCCCTTTTTTTAAAAAAATCTGTTTTTATTAATTTCAGAGAGAGAAAAGGAGAGGGAGAGAGAGATACAAACATTGATGTAATAGAGAAACAGCAATGGGCTGCCTCCTGTATGTCCCCTACTGGGGATTGAACCCACAACCTGGGCATGTGCACTGGCCAGGAATCAAACCAACAACGGTTTTGTGTGTATGATGCTCAACTAACTGAACAGCCAGGCTGTTCTTTTTTTTTTTTTTTTTTGCATAGGCTGTCTCTCTGCCAAGGGTCAGCCCCAGGTATAAACTCAGAGTTTTCTTGGGTCTTTTCTGAGCCTTTCCCTGGGCATGCCCAGTTACTTTCTAATATTCCCCTAATATGCAATTGTTCTTTAATGTCTGACTACCAAGAAGGGAAAAAGAAAAGGAAGAGGGTAGCCCGGCTGGTGTGGCTCAGTTAGCTGAGTGTTGTCCCGTGCACCAGGAGGTTGCCGGTTGGATTCCTGGACAGGGCCCATGGCTGGGTTGTGAGCTTGATCCCCAGTAGGGGACGTGTAGGAAGTAGCCAATTATGGATGTTTCCATCTCTCTTTCCCTCTCTCTTCCTCTCCCTCTAAAATCAATAAAAACATATTTTAAAAAAAAAAAAAAAAAATAAGTAAAATAAGAATAAACACAATAACAAAAGCAGCAAACCCTGGAAAGAAGAAGAATCTGAATTCCAAAGTTATCATATTATTAGATTCAAATGTTCAATTTCCAACAACAACAAAAAAGAGCAAGGTGTACAAAGAAACAGGAAAGTCTGGTGCATTCAAAGAAAAATAATCAATAAAAACTGTCCCTAAAAATGATCTGATAGCAAAAATATTAGATAAAGACTTTAAAATAGCTGTCTTAAAGAACTAGAGGAAGCCTTGGCCAATTTTGCTCAGTGGTTAGAGCGTTGGTCCTCAGACCAATGAGTCATGAGTTTGAATTTGGTCAAGGGCATGTACCTTGGTTGTGGTTTGTCCCTGGCCCTGTTCAGGGTCAAACGGGAGGCAGCCAGTTAATGTGTCTCTTTCACATCGATGTTTCTCTCTGAAGAAAAATGGAAAAATATTCTCAGGTGAGGATTAAAAAAAAACTATAGAAAAATGTGGGGGGGAAAATCAAGAAAACAATGTATAAACAAAATGGAAATATCAATAAAGAGACAGAAAACCTGAAAAGAAACCAAAGAGAAATTCTGGAGCTGAAAAGTTCAATGACTAAAATGAAAAATTCACTAGAGGGATTCAAAGGCAGGTGTGAATAGACAAAAGAAAAATATCAGCAAATTTGAGGAAAGGACAATGGAAATTATTGAGTCTGAGAAACAGAAAGAAAAACAATTTGGGAAAAGTGAACAGAGCGTTAGAGACCTGTGGGACTCCATCAAGTAGACCAACATACACATCGTGAAAATCCCAAAAGGAAAAAAGAGTGAGGGGCAGAGAGAATATATGAAGAAATAATAGCTGTACTTCTCAAACTTGATGAAATATATAAATAAAAACATCCAAGAGGCTCAACAAACTCCAAATAAGATAAACTCAGAGACCCACAGCAAGACACACTGCAATCAAACTTTTAAAAGCCCAAAACAGAGAAAATCTCAAAAGCAGCAAAAAGTAAATAATCACATACAAGGATACACAATAAAATTATGATCAGATTTCTATTCAGAAACTTTGAAGGCCAGAAGGCAGTGGGCAGATATAGTCAAAGGGTTAAAAGAAAAACTTGTCAACCAAGAATCCTGTATTTGGCAAAGTTGTCCCTTCAAAAGCAAGGAAAAAATCAAGTCATTCCAAGATAAACTAAAGTCAAGGAAGTTTGTTACCACTGGACCTGCCCTGCTAGAAATGCTCAAGGGAGTCCTGTAAGGTGAAATGAAAGAACACCCAAAGCTATAACAGAAATCAAAGTTGTACAAAGAAATAAAGATTTCAATAAGGTAAATACATGGAAAGTTATTTTAAAAACAGTATTATTGTAATAATGGTTTATAACTACACATTTTGTTTTCTACACGATTCAAGAGACTAATACATTTAAAGAAAAAAGTGTAGTCTAAAACCTAGTATTATTGTAATCCTGCTTTCTACATTAAGACTAATGCTTTTAAAACAATTACTAGTTTATGCTTTGGAGTACACTATGTACAAAGATGTAACGTGATGACATCAGCAGCTGAAAGGAGTGGACATGGAGGTGTAAAGAAACACAGTTTTTGTATGTTATTGAAGTTAGGCTAATATAAATTCAAATTATAGTGTTATAACATTAGAAAATTAAATGTAATTCTTATGGTAACCATAAAGAAAATAGATTGTATACAAAAAAAAATGAGAAAGGACTTTAAACATTTCACTACAAAAAAATCAACTAAACACAAAAGAAAACA